AGGAAAAAACTTGAATTTCTAATTTTGGGGGGGGTGAGTTACTTACTTTCAATGTTATGACAACTTTAGTTTTCTTTTCTTACCTATGTGAGATCCTGGCTGTTCATCTGTTGATTGGGTATAGTGTTGGCAGAAAGTCTCTCCTATTCCTTTTAATATTTTCATAATGTTTTCCATAGGATTACGCACACAAGACCTACAAAATACAAGAGGAATCTAATTACAAAAAACAAACAAAAAAAAACCACAACCCACACCAGAGTACTAACATGCCTTTTTTGTTTTCCTTTTTGAGATAGAGTCTCGCTCTGTCACCCAGGCTGGAGTGCAGTGGCACGATCTCAGCTTGAGACCCACCTCACCAACATGGTGAAACTCTGTCTCTACTAAAAATACAAAAAAATTAGTCAGGCATGGTGGTGGGTGCCATTATCCCAGCTACTTGGGAGGCTGAGGCAGGATAATCAATTGAACCCAGGAGACCGAGGTTGCAGTGAGCTCAGATTGCGCCATTGCACTCCAGCCTGGGCAACAAGAGCAAAACTCCATCTCAAAAGAAAAAAGAAAAAAAGAAAGAAACAATGGCCAGGTTTTATTTAGTTTGTTTGTTTCTAGAGATGACATCTTGCTATGTTGCCCGGGCTGGTCTTGAACTCCTGAGATCAAGCGATATACCCACCCTGGCCTCCCAAAGTGCTAAGATTACAGGCATGTGCCACTGCAGTTGGACTCTAATATAGATATTTTAATAATAAGTCTTCCAGTCAACAAACACAGATGTCTTTCCTTTTTTTAATTTTTATTTTTTTAGATAGGGCCTCGCTTTGTTGCCCAGGCTAGAGTACAATGGTGTGATCATGGCTGGCTTCAAGTGATTCTCCCCTCTCAGCCTCCTGAGTAGCTGGGATACACGTCACTATGACTAATTTTTAAATTTTTCCTGTAGAGACAGGTTCTCACCATGTTTGTCAGGCTGGTCTTGAGCTCCTGAGTTCAACTGATCCTCCTGCCTCAGCCTCCCAAAGTGCTGTGATTACAGGAATGAGCTGCAACACCCAGCCTTTCCATTTATTTGTGTCTAGATTTTTCTTTTGCATTCTATACTTCCTTCTTTTNTCCCAAAGTGCTGTGATTACAGGAATGAGCTGCAACACCCAGCCTTTCCATTTATTTGTGTCTAGATTTTTCTTTTGCATTCTATACTTCCTTCTATTGACATATATGTATAGTTGCTTTGTCACTGCTTTTCAACTTATTCATGCTTAACAGTAGTTCAATTCAGACCTACTTACTCAAATGCTATGGAGGATAGATCTCCATGACAGTCTTCCTACCTTACTGGCAGTATGCTTTTCTTCTGAGCTATTTCTGAGACTGGAGACTGTTCTATTTTCTTGTATCCTGAAGGTTTGAGGAATAGGTGTGAGCTCAGCTATGTTCAGCTTTCCTTGGAAGACAAGGGCTTTGCTTTCTCTTCTGAGATTTAGTTAAATATTCCCATTCCAGGGTTCACTATTCCTAGTCAGGGATGTCTAGTTATATTAGGATATCTCCCCAAATCATCATAGTATGTTGGAAAACAGCAGGCTTGGCAGTTGTTCATATTTCTGCTGGGATCCTGTTGGTGGTACACAGGGACTTTCACCTGGGGAGGTTTGTATGACTTTTTATTGGTGTGCCTACTCCCTCATTCGTTTCTCTCCGAAAATGAAGCATTAATGAGCATTCTCAAGATCTATCAATATACTCTCTTTCCCCAACACTGCTTAGCGATGGGCATACCAGAATCATCAATTTTCTTTTTGATTTCTACTTTGGAAATTTATGTCATGAAATCATATCTCTCTCCTCATTTGGTTGCCACTGATAAATATTTTGCTGGTTTTTACTATTCTCTTTTTTTAATTAGGTGTTAGGAAAGAAGCTTCTCTGATCTGGCTTCATTCTACCAGCTTTACCAGGAGTAATGCTTCCTTAAAGAAGAAAAAAAAAATGTATATAATTCCATTTTATGGCTGTATCACCAATATGCAATTAGTCCCCTATCTAATGGATGTTTAGAATGACTCCATTTAAAGTTAATGTATGTCCTTATACAGGTGATCTTTAGAAACAAACAAAAATAAAAATAAATTAAAAAATAAAGTCAACGTAAAAACAAAACAAAAACATGCATAACTCGGCGGTAGTTACAAGAGTGAAATATCAGAGCTTAATAATCTTTAAGGTACACTTATCACTGAAAGTCTACACTCCCATGAAATAACATCATATATAATTTTTTTTTTTTTTTTAAGAAACAAGGTTGGGGCCGGGCGCGGTGGCTCAAGCCTGTAATCCCAGCACTTTGGGAGGACGAGGCGGGTGGATCACGAGGTCAAGAGATCGAGACCATCCTGGTCAACA